TTTTTCTTGGGCAAAAAGAAAAAATACAAATAGCTTGTTATATAAAAATATTATCTATTTATCATCACTTAATACTTTTTGTCAAAAATAAAAAATAAAAAAAAATTCAGAGTGGAGAGGAAATTAATATTTACCCGATGAGATATTAGTTAGGGTCGTCCATGCCAGGCGACAGAGTTTACACTAACCTTTCTTTTAATTTTTTTTATTTTAAAATTTTAAGAGGGCAGTGTTTATTTACCTTTATTTTAAAAAAAATTAAGATAAAAATATCTTTAAATTATTTATTTTAATAAAATATGATGAAAACATAATAAAAATAATAAAATTTATATTTTTAAAATAGTGTATTTTAAGCATTTTTGTAATGAAAATGTTTTATTTAAAATATTACGTGATATTATAAACTTAGTTATAATGTGTTTTTATATAATTAACTCATTTCATTTAATAATTTACTTGTAGTAAAATATATATTCACTTGTTTAATATTATATTATAATTATTTAATATTGTATCATGATTGTAAAATTATAATTTTATACAATATTATGGTTATTATTATTTTTTTAATAGGATTGCTAAAAGGACATAGTTTGGATGATTCTCTCCCCAGTTTTTAGCAATGTATCAACCAAATGGCCTTTTCCGTAATTTTAATGCATGCGTAGAAAACCACATTTTCGGCGTTAGGTCTAGCTTCATTTTCCATGCTTCAATGACGGTCAACTCCTTCCATTGCCTATTTATTTTCAAAAAAATGATGGTCAACTTCCTTTCAGATGAATATCAACTTCCTTGTGATGCTCATTTAAAAAAAAGTGGTTAATGTTGAATGCAGCGTACCTGTTAATTTGATGCAAGTTCTCTGAGAGAATAACATCAAGGTCTCCATGGAGTGGAAAAGGCTTACGAGTATGCTTAAGAGGAAGACCATCATGACAGGGGCTATTGGCATTTTATTTGTTGCTTCGTTGCTTGGTCCATCAAGTGGGTGTGATTTTCCGGCCATTTACAACTTCGGAGATTCGAACTCTGATACCGGCAGTGTCTCGGCAGCATTTGATCGGCTTCATTCCCCTTTTGGTGAGACTTTTTTTGGAAGACCTTCTGGCCGGTATTCTGATGGGCGTCTGATAATCGATTTTATAGGTAGGCTTATGACTTCCAAAACCATAACTTCTCTCTTTCTAATTTTGGGTATCAAACAGATTGATGGCAGCTATAACAAGAAGCTGTTTCTGCCAACAATGATTGATGGTCGGAAACCATTGTGTTTTTTTTTTTTTTTTGGTCGA